GTGACAGGGCGCAGCGGCGCTGGGCAGAAGGTTTTAGCACAAAGGGTGAAAGAAAAACAGGGTGACCAGGAATTCTTAACGGAATGTTGATAGATGATTTTTGGCTGGTTGCTTGATGATATGGCGGATATGGGGTGACATACTACCCTATACATAATTGGGAATCCCGTTCTTCAGTATCAAGAGATGTGATAGAGGGTTTTGAACACTGCTCACCTGGAAAAACCCTGGTCGACGAGCCTACTGTATTTGTTTGGTCCCTATAATGGCAATAGTTCTCCTAACCGGCCGACTAGTACGTTATTTTTTGCAGAGTCTGATAGAGTCTGGGTTTTTGTCTGAAAATATATAAAAATATAGCATCCAAATTTGATGCTTCATCATTATGTTCTAATTATATTCCCATATTTTGCCTGCTAAAAATGACCAGAACTTGGGTTATTCATGGCTATTCCTCATGTCGACAGACTAACAAGGAAATATGGCAATCATATGGAAATGATAATTAGGATTTAATATGGAAACAATAGGGAAATGATATGGCAATCATATGGAAAGAATAGGGAAATCGAGTCTCATCCTCTCGCCGTCCGCAGCTTTGAGCCTCAAATCCCCCCCCTTCAGCGCTCGGCCGCGGGTCGGAGGTGGGCGTTGATGAGTTGGAAAAGCAGATGACCCGGGGAAAACTAAGAAGAATGTGGACAAATATGGACATATCATGAAAAATCATGGTTTCCCAGAACATGATCTACAAATGATGGGTTTTTCAACATCTATGTTAGTTTACAGGAGGGTATCCACTGGTAATTTAACAGTTTGTTATGGACATTTGTCATTCTTGAAACCAGTATCAAACTAAATGGGTAATTTCCGTAGCCAAGTCAAGCAGCTCTGTTGAATTGCTGGATGGTATAAGATGTTTAAGATATGAGGATGATCGCAGCTGATTCCATGATTGTTTTGGAGGTTCAATTTTACACAATTTTAGGTTCGTTAATATTGTATAATATTGTAGTATACCATCTGGTTATTAAACATAGCCATTGAACATCACCATTTTTAGTAGGTAAACCATCTAATTATAAATGGGCCATTTTCCATGGCTATGTTAAATAACCAGATGGTAATATATATATATGTTCCAATCAACTAGCTAGTAGAACCAATCCGCAAAAACGGTGTTGGAAATGCCGAGTTAAACAGGCCAGGCCTCATGTTAGACACCCCGGTTGTACGTATTTGTCTTTCTGTCAAGATTGTCAAGAGACTTGGAGCCACTCACGTTTTATAAGTATGTATATATATATTATATGGATAGATATGGATAGATTAATAGATAAACCATGATAAACCCAATGTTGAGTCCACTTTGGACAAATCCATATAATTACTCATCATTCTTGGTTCTACCTACATCCTATATTATCCCCATGACTAGTCTCTAGACTTGGTTTTTCCTCCATGTTTGGGGGGTACATTCCCATCCCCATCCTACACATCCTACCCATTGGCAACGCTCCTCCGCTCCGACTTTTTCAGGCGGATCATGGCAGAGATGGAGGTGGACGAGTCAAAAGAGCTGAATGAAGAGAAGAAGGACGACGGTGAAAAACGGATTGATACATAACACACAGTTGCGATGGAATCTAAGCATTTTGCATCGTTTTGCAATATAATTCATAATACTGTCTATATTGATTTAATAAAGTATATTCTGAAGCAATATTTTGGGAAACCTTGTCAGCAATATTTTGCTACCTGATCACTGATTCCAGCCGCTACTGTAGCTACATAGGATGGTTGGTGGTATTTCCCAACCAAAAACATGGGAAAACAGGAAGAAACGATAGGTAATTCAGAGATAATCTCAGAGGATTTTGAATGCTGAGGAACTTAAGTGGGGATACGGGATAGTCACCATATAGCTATACTTATCCCCAAAAAAGAATTGGGTTACTCGATTGGCCTGCGACGTTGTCCAGGTTACCTTGGCAAAGTGCTAGCCGCGTAAAAACAGTATGGCGGCCGAATCCGTGAAAATCCTACACAACGGTATTTAAATACATTTACCCTCTGGTTATTTAACATAGCCATGGAAAATGACCCATTTATAGATGGTTTACCTATTAAAAATGGTGATTTTCCATGGCTATGTTAAATAACCAGATGGTAAATAAGTTAAATACTATGAATCTCATTGAACCTTATAATCAATAATCTTGATAACAATGAATAATATGGCAGCTACCTTCATCTCAACGCCCATTGAATCTATAGCTGGAAGATGCTGGAAGTATTTTTGCGCCAGCTTTTTTGACGAGTCGAAGCATGACCACAGAAGGTACACAGGAGGTGAGACATCCTCCGGTAAATGTTGACCTATCTGACCTATCTCCATTTCCCGTTGACCTATCTGCTAACGAAAAAAAACCGCTATGGAAACTCAACCCATGCTGTCATGGAATCAGGACGTGGCCGAAGATGAAGCAGCTAAGGAGGTTCGGCAGATAGCCGCATCAGATAGCCTTGTTGATGGTTTACGATTGGGGGGTTAGTTATTAAGCTACTTAGTTTGATGGGGATGATGGATGATGACGGCGTATTTCTTTATGGTTCGTTTATTCTTGGGGATAGTGAGTGCATGATCATGTTTGTGGTAATGTGATAAACCCAATAATATACCTCCAAATTAGGATGGTTTGATGGTTTGTACCAGCCATTTATGGCAAGGATGGTTTTTGATTGGCTTTACCAGGTTACTTGGTATATCCGGCGTTTTTGCATTGGACCTCTCCGTGTATCCGCAAAAAAAAAGCCGAACATGTGCTGCTGGTGCTGGTCGTTCTTGCGGAGTCGGGCTAGACATCCCAGTCACTTTTTTCTGAATCATTGAAAAATCATTGTTAGGTCTTGTCCAGAAATAGGGTGTTTTACCCATTCAATTGCCATTTTTATATATGTTCATGGGACACACATATGATAATTGCACACGCCATTGGATATTGGCATATTTTGGAGTCAAACATAGCTTAGCTCCTGTGCGTCTCCCTGTGTCTCACAGGATCGGTGTCGGAGGTCCCCTTTCGAACAGAAAACCATGCTATACCTGAATCATCCTTAATCATCCTTAATCTACATATATATATATATACATACGTATATATATATATATCCCATAGGATCCATGTATGGTATATATGCTAACATAAAGGGGTATATTGATGGTAAATGTTACCATATATAGCATACATGGATCCTATGGGTACATATATATATATAATATGAATATAATATGACTATCATATGACCGAATTTGTTGCTGCTTGAAAATCCGAATTTCAATCTCCCTACTTCAGATACGTTCCGAGTCCGAGTTTCTGCGTGTTCCCTCGTTCCTTTCCAGCCAGCCAGCGGGATTTTCCGGCCATCGGCAGGACGAAGTGAAAGAACTGGAAGCTGATGCGCCCAGCGATTCGCGACCCAAGGTCAAAGCAGGCCGCAGTTTCATGTCAGGTCGGGATGAACCATCATTAAACAATGATTAATGTGGTTAAAACAATAATAAACCATTCTCCAGTCATCACCATAAATAGGTGGTATGTTTACCATTCCCAAATGGGTAGTTTATGTTTTAAACCACATTATCTTTTATTATTTTTTATCGACCCCATATTGGGATTGGATACCATTCAATATGATTGAATTATCTATATTATCACATTATGATCATATATACTAAACATTTCTAAACATAACTAGACATTTCTGGTTTTTCATGTTGTTCTATTATAGGTCCACTGCTGTATTTTAACCAAAATACATCCGTTTACTATGTTTAGTAGTCATAACATATCATGACATAATATTCCTGGTTGGTGGTTTGGAACATTTTTTTCATATTTTCCATTCAGTTGGGAACAATCATCCCAACTGACGAAGTCATATTTTTCAGAGGGGTAGGTCAACCACCAACCAGCCATTATTAACCATCACTAATCATCATTAACCATCATTAAATCACCATTAATCAATGTATATATATATATATCCAATGTTGTAGGTCTGACTAATACTTTTGAGAGGGGTAGGTATACCACCAACCAGACCGATATCATTAATATCCCCATGAGAAATCCCTATGATAGGTCGACTGGCCTATTCCATCCTATTCCTGGAGACCCACGCAGGTAGCGTGGCCTTGAACTTCGAGGAATCCACGCTCAACGCTATGCCGGTGAACGGTGGCAAGATGCTGATGCCGCTCACTGAAGGCCGGAGGTTTCAATGGAAACATGGGAAAATCATGGGAAAATCCACTAGGAATTGCGGTTCATATAATTATATACATGTATACAAATAGATATATATATATATAATACACACACATGTATATATATATATACACATACATATATGTATACATATATTTTATGTATGTATGTATATATATATATATATACATACATATATGTATACATATATTATATGTATGTATGTGTATATATATTTATACATGGCCGGAAAAAAACACACATATATATATATATATATATATATGCTGGAAAAATCATCGATCTAAATGTCAGATTTTCCATGTGTGATTGCCAGAGGGTATGCATGATTTTCTTGGAGGATCACAGTATGATAAGTGAAATTTGGCATTGAAGCAGCACCCAATGGTGGTATTTATTTGATATAAGCAACAAACATGGAAATTTACTAGAACATCAATGGGTGTTTCTTAAAATGGGGGATGCCCAAAAGCATGGGTTTCAATACGGCTAAAATGGTCTAATTTTGGATGATCTAGAGGTACCCCCATTTCAGGAAACCCCCAAATGATGATTCATTAACAACATTTGATCACTGGTTGCCCACCAACATGGTAGAATGGGCACAGTTGGGTGGCAATGGGGAATTAGATGGAATTGGAATGAATTTGGCATATTATTTGGCTAAAACATGGTATGGAATTGGTGTATAGCCAACAACATATGGGA